AAAGTAGATAAAAATCAGATCAATACCAGATTGCTCTGATACCAAACTGATACGGATAGCACGTGAGACCCGGTGGATATATTGATCCAAGAACCAAACGTATAAATAGGCAGCATAATCCCATATCGGAAATCTAGTTTGATCGTACCTAGAGCTTGAAAACCTCGACCCATTAGCTATATAATCAGCTGAGACCATTGGTATGGTGAACGCCACAAGATCTTGCTCAACTATCTTGATAAGGCCTTAAAACACTTGAAACTTTACAAAAGAGAATTCAAATCTCACAAAAGTGATTTTTAATAATCAGCAATATTCATATCTTTTCTTAAAACACAAAATGGCCTTTTTAAAGGCTACAAAAGGTGCTTATGAGTTAATCATGTTTTTGGGACTCATGATGCACTAAAGACACAATTTTGACCTTATAATAAATAAGCTTAAATAAAGTTTAAATGATCTTTTGACTTACTTAAGAGACAAAACAGTCTCACAAATGTTAAAAATTGACAAAATAATGGACACTTCAATTGGGCTTCATGACATGGTCGAAATTAAGTCTTCAATCCACGAATCAGTCTTCATGCGAACAATCTAGCCCATCTTCAATCGGGATTAATTCTGTCTTCTCTTGAAATTCAACAATAAAACACTCAAGTCTTCCTTCATTTTACTAGCCATTTCTCTCATGATCGGTCCCGTATTTATTTTCAACAAACCCATCTTAATTTGAACGGAGAGCGTCGACCGAACTCCGTCAAAACATAAGCATCAAATAACCAAAACATGGACCATGTTGCCGCATAGATGCTCCTCGGCCAATTCAGGCTCTTGGAAAAAAATTGGAGAGACGTTATACAAAATCTCATAGTGGCCCTTGATGTCAGCATCCACCATGAGAGTGCGAGAGCACATCCCAACACAACAGATCAAGAAACATCATAATGGACTAACCCAATCCAGTCTTTCTTGGTGTATAATTATTTTTTTACGGTCGATTTGAGATCTACACATGTAGGTAGAATATTTGAGTTTTTGGAGTTTATACTCAACATTATTATTTCCTAAGGATGGCATCGACGTGAGTGTTTTTTGACCAATTTGTGTCACTAAATATAAGAAAGGTTTTTTTTTTTTTTTTTTTTATACTGCACAGGTTTGTGGCCTGAGATGGGCACGACCATGAGTGTTTCTCAGTTTTCAGGTTTGTGGCCTAAGATCGGCA